TCTTCCTCTCCACTCAAGTCTGCATGGGGCCCCGAAAGCTTGTCCCCTTCACTGGCCCACCCAGAACCCCCATCCAAGAGGCAGATTTTTGGAGCATACCTTCATTCCATGTCTATCCTTTCCTGGGCAGTTCTTTTTCAGCAAACCCCTGCGGATCCTCAACATTCTCCTGTTGTTGGAGGGCGCTGTCATTATCTACCAGCTGTACTCCTTAATGTCCTCCGAAAAGTGGCACCAGACCATCTCATTGGCCCTCATCCTCTTCAGCAACTACTATGCCTTCTTCAAGCTGCTGCGAGACCGACTGGTATTGGGCAAGGCCTATTCGTACTCAGCCAGCCCTCAGAGAGACCTGGACCACCGGTTCTCCTGAGCCCCAGGGTGATCCCAGGGACAGCATCCAGGCTTCAGTCAGGGACTTCCTGGCAAGAGGCTGTTGGGGAGGGATGGCTGGGAAAAAAAAAAAAAAAAAAAAAAAAAATCCACCAGAGCTTTGTATTTTTGTTACATACTGTTTCTTTCTTTGATAATTGATGTGATGAGGGGAAAAAAAATGTCCTATTTTTATACTCCCAACAAGCCTTGTGTCCTGTGGTTCTTTCCCTTCTTGCCTATCAGGCAGAGAGCAGAGGTGTGGGATTCTGGTCTGGGAAGCACCACATGTGGCTTCTGGGTCCTCTGTGGGCTCTGCCTTCACCAATGGAGAGAAAAGGAGGCACCGAAGGCCGTGGTAGCAGTGATAGCTGCTGCTAACTGAATGCTCACTGTGCTAGGTGCTGCTCTCTGAGTATTTCAGTCCTTGCCTTTTATTTTTTTTTTTTTTTAAAGATGACCAGTAAGGGGATCTCAACCCTTGACTTGGTGTTGTCAGCACCACGCTCAGCCAGTGAGCGAACCGGCCATCCCTATGTGGGATCCGAACCCGGGGCCTTGGTGTTATCAGCACCGCACTCTACCGAGTGAGCCACGGGCCGGCCCCAGTCCTTGAACCCGGGCCCTTGGTGTTATCAGCACCGCACTCTACCGAGTGAGCCACGGGCCGGCCCCAGTCCTTTCCTTAATCTGACTTTTATGACATACCTAGGAGGTAGGTGCTGTCATTCCTATAGATAAAGAACTGGAGCTCAGAGAGCTACAGTGACTTGCCCATGGTAACACAACTAGGAAGTGGTAGAGCTGGGCCTAAATAAAAACCTGAAAAAAAACCCAAGAAACTGAAAAATAGACACTACAGTAGTCCCTCCTTATCCATGGTTTTGCTTTCCATAGTTTCAGTTACTCATAGTACAGTATAGTAAGATATTTTGAGACCACATTCACATAACTTTTATTACAGTATATTGTTATAATTGTTCTATTTTATTATTGTTAATCTCTTAGTGTGCCTAATGTATAAATTAAAATTTTTCGTATGTATGTATAGCAAAAACATAGTCTATATAGGGTTTGGTATTATCTGTGGTTTCAGGCATCCATTGGAGGTCTTGAAAAAAAACCTCCCGCGGATAAGGGGGAAGTACTGAACTATCCCAGCAGAATGTGATGTCTTGATTCTCTCAGCATGTGGTCTCTGACACCCTGTTCTGTGTCAGGTACTGTGGTAGATGGTGAGGATGCCAAGACACAGAAATAAGCAATGCTACCCTGGGATGAACATAGCAGTTATAAGATATAAAGTAGCACAGGGAAAAGAATGTTTACTGCTCTTTGGGCTTCTTGGAGGGAATGTCTGAGTTGTATTAGCCACTTCCTAGGTGGACAAGATGGGGAAAGGCATTTTAGTGAGAGAAAGGGGCATGTGAAATAGCACATAGATCTGCATACCAGCCAGCCACCAAAAAAAAAAAAAACCACCTAGATCTGGAACATCCTGGTGTGTTTTGGGGAGGGTAGACAATTTGGTTCTTAGAGCAGGAAAGATAAAAGAGAGTGGGGTGGAGGCTGGAAAGGTCAGCAGAGGCTGGATCAGGGAGGACCAATGGCTCTAGGATAGTGACAGTGTATGATCAGGGTGGAAACAAACAGCTGCTTGGATAGTCACTTGGCTCTTATGGGCATAGGATGGAGGGCTCAGCCTGGAAGGAGAAGAGGTGCAGACAGTCACAGCCATTCTCATCTATTCAGCCCATGTTCCCTGAGCCTTTCTTGGCCACAGGGTATGCAGATAAGGTGACAGTGGTATGCAGGGTATGCAGATATGGGAGACAGACACCTCAACAAATGTTTTTGGTGCCTATGTTGAGGCAAGCACTGTGCTAGACACTGGGACAGTTACAAAGATGAGAAAGATACTGTCCCTTCCATAGAGAACAGGGAGAGATGGACACACCTTGTAAGCAAATGAGGATGTGAGCTGCTAAGGAAAACGAGCATCCAGGGCACTATGGAAGCAAGGAGGACAGATAGCTTGACTGTCTGGAAAGACAGGCTTCTCTTTTTTTTTTTTTTTTTTTTTTTTTTTTAAGATGACCGGTAAGGGGATCTCAACCCTTGACTTGGTGTTGTCAGCACCACGCTCAGCCAGTGAGCGAACCGGCCATCCCTATGTGGGATCCGAACCCGGGGCCTTGGTGTTATCAGCACCGCACTCTCCCGAGTGAGCCACGGGCCGGCCCAAGACAGGCTTCTCTAAAGAGGTGATGGTTTAGTTAGGTCTTGAAAGTGAGCAGCAGTTCACTGCATGGTCAAGTGGGGAAGAGAGGACACTGCATTCCAAGCAGAGAGAATAGCACATGCGAAGGCACAAGCGAAGATGGGAACATATTTGGGGAAAAGTAGTTCCCCAAATATGGTTGGAGCCTGGGTTGCCTGGTGGCGAGTGGCCCAAGAAGCTGGTAATAATAGCCAGATTGAAATGTTCGGGCACTAGCTAAGGGCAGGCAGTAGCAAATTGCAGAGGATTGACACCATAAGTTCTCCACTTTTAAGGAAATTGGTGGGAGGAGGAGAACCTGGAGACAGGAGGCTACTGAGGAGGCAGGCAAAATAGACCAGGAGAGAGCGGCATTGGCAGTAGGAAGGGAAATGTAGTGCTCCCTTTCCTAACCTGGAGTCCTAGAGTTTTCTTTTGAGTTGTTTCTCTTAATGTGCCAGGAATGTAACTAGAGTTGGCAATCTGTTGTGACAGGCCCTGGGGACCAGATACCAGGTCCCTCATTCCGCTTCCAAAAACAGGTCCCTGTTGGGACAAGTGACTTGAAGACATAGCCTGGCTCTGTGTGTTGATGTGGGGGACAGAAGGACTGGTATGTTATTGTTTTAGTCTGTTTTGTGTTGCTATAACAGAAATACCTGAGACTGGGTAATTTATAAAGAAAAGAGGTTTATTTGGCTTACGATTCTGGGATAGCTGCATCTGGCATGGGCCTCAGGCTGCTTCTACTCGTGGCAGAAAGTGGCAGGCAGCAGGCGGGTACAAGCAGATCACATGGCAAGAGGGAGCAAGAGAGAGAGAGAAGGTGCCAGGGACATTTTAAGCAACAAGCTCTCGCGGGAACTAATCGAGTGAGAACTCACTTATTAATTCCCCCTCCCCCAGGGAGAGCATTAATCCATTCATGAGGGATCCTCCCCCATGACTCAATCAGTTTCCAACACTGCCACATTAGAGATTAAATTTCCACATGAGTTTTGGAGGGGGGCCTCAGGCTGCTTCTACTCATGGCAGAAAGTGGCAGGCAGCAGGCGGGTACAAGCAGATCACATGGCAAGAGGGAGCAAGAGAGAGAGAGAAGGTGCCAGGGACATTTTAAGCAACAAGCTCTCGCGGGAACTAATCGAGTGAGAACTCACTTATTAATTCCCCCTCCCCCAGGGAGAGCATTAATCCATTCATGAGGGATCCTCCCCCATGACTCAATCAGTTTCCAACACTGCCACATTAGAGATTAAATTTCCACATGAGTTTTGGAGGGGACAACACATCCAAACTCCATCAGTTATTATTCAAAAAAGGGAGGCCTAGGGCCGGGCCATGGCTCACTTGGGAGACTGTGGTGCTTATAACACCAAGGCCATGGGTTCGGATTCTATATAAGGATGGCCGGTTTGCTCACTGGCTGAGTGTGGTGCTGACAACACCAAGCCAAGGGTTAAGATCCCCTTACTGGACATCTTTTTAAAAATAAAATAAAAAAGGGAGGCCTAATGTGTACCAGCCATAAATTCCATGATTCAAAAGGCACGTGCACACTAAATTTCCTCATCTCTAAAAAGGGAGATCATACCCCTTGCTCTGCATAACCCACTGTCCTGTTCATTTGTTTGTTTATTCATTCAACAACTATTTACAGAGTACGTACCATGGGGCCAGATACTGTTCTAGGTGTAGTGAACAATACAGAACTGAAGGCTGCCCTCAAGGAGCTTGCAGTGAGGATTAAGAAAATAACGATCGGTAAATTGTTCTGTCAACTATACTGCACCCGGTCTCATTGTTTTTCTATTTCTTATCTCCCAATAAGATTACAGTTTCAACTAGGGCTACCTGTGGTACGTCCAGTCAGAAAATCTGGGTTTATGGGGGCTGGCCTAGCTCTGGGTGTTATAACACCAAGGTCAAGGGTTCAGATCCCCACAGGCCAGCCACCAAAACAAACTTCGGTTTAGTCTTGACTTTTTCCTTTCTTTATAGTCTTGAGTAAGTCACTTCCTCTCTCCAGATGATTCCTTATTCATATTCAGTTCAGGGTCTACGGTTGCCTTTGACTATGAAAGGAAAGGATAAGTTTATCACAGAAAAATTTTCTGGGGGAGAAGACCTCAGTATAAAGAACTAGTATCAGAAACAGCTAAGAAGTCCTAGTCATGCTTCAAACTTATCTTTAGTACAGATCTCTCCCAGTCTCCCTCAAGCCACTCCTTTTGGTATTCCATCCCTATTCCCCCACCTTTCGTAGCTGCGGTCTCTTTAAGTGAGCGCCGTGGTGTAACCTAGGTGGTGTGGCCAAGAGCGTGTTTCGTCCCAGGGCTGTTAAGTAGTTTGTCCGTTTCGGGGTTCCGTCCTGCATATCCGCCATATTGTCTGCTGAAGCTGCCGCTGAAGCTGCCGCTGCTGCCGCCGCCAAGTCTAAGCGAGCGGAGCCGCGATGGGTGAGTAGGGATACCAGGCAGTTGGGTACTCGGGCTGAGCCAGTCTCGGGGCTTGGGATCTGAAAAGAGCCTGTTTCTAGTCTGCGGAAGATATCAGAAGCTCCTCCAGAAAGGTCTGAGAGGAGAAGCCAGGCCGGGTGTGCCCAAGCCAGTTTGGGGCCGGGCTAGGGCCCGCGCCCTGAGCAGTCCTCGAGGGCTGGTTCCAGGGACACCTTGACACGCCTGGAGCCCCCACGTGGTGGTCTCGGGCCGGAGCCAACGCGGTCCCGGGGCCTAGAAATGGGCCTTGCGCCGAGACTGGGGCCGGGGGCCGGGCTCCCGGCGGCAGGCCTGGGCGGCGCTGAGGGAGGCTTCTCCCGGCGTGTGTTTGGCCGACGCGTGTCTTGACTAGGCTCAGTGGCTCGCCCGAACTCAGGAAAGTCCTGCCTACGTCGCGGGGTAGAGTCATCTCGTGAGGGGACGCCAGGCGAGCCAGCTTCAGGCTGGTAACCAGGGGCAGCCAGGCTAAGGGCAGCTTGGGGCGCTGAAGGCCAGGAGAACCTCCCGAGCCGATTCAGAAATCTGGTGGTTCTGTTGGGCTCAGAGTGACAGCCCTCATAGTGGTATTAAACCAGGGACCAAGATTCCTTGGCCATATGTAGGTTGGGGACTTCAGGTTTCTGGGCCGGACCTGGTTAGGAGAAAAGGAGCGACCTGTTGATCTTTATGAGGGGACCCCGGTTGGCAAGGCCTCTGCTCGGAGAGAATACGATGGCGAAGGCTTTGGACTTACAGACATAACCAGCGTGGTAGTTCCTCTCCTGAAGTAAAACCTATTAAGTTTGCTAAGCGCTTTCTAAGCAGGCATTGTTCTGATTGCTTTACATGTCTTGTTTTACTTAATTTTTGTACAACCTAATGAGGTAGTTACTACCGTTATTCTTATTGTACAGATGAGGAAACTGAGGCTTAGAGAGGTAAAGTAACTTACCCAAGGTCACACCGTTAGTGGCTCACTCCAGAGCCCTACTTTGTAAACTGCTGGTTTTCATGGCCTGGCCCTCTAGTGGTTGGGCTTGAAGAAAGGGAAAGAAAGCTTTTTAAGCCTAGGCAAAGTTGTTAAAGGTGTTTTTTGCTTGTGGGCCCACGTTGAAATGTTTAGTCCAGAGTGAATTGCGTATCCCAGTATCATATGTGTGGAGCTAAATGAGATTTTGGAATTGATTTTGTAAGATCTCTAATCCTGAGGAAACATTCCCTTGAGCTGCAAGGAGATGACTTTAGAATCAGATCTGGTATTTTAACCAGGCCTGCCACTTCCTAGCTCTCATCAGGAGAAATCGCTTAAGTGTCAGACTCAGCAGTGCGTATGGAAGGCATCTAGCATAGTCCACAATAAATGTCACTTTCCTTCCTTTCTGAGCCTTACTTTCCACATCTCTAGAAAAGGGGTAGGGGGCAGTGTTGTCAAGGAGTTTGAATCCTAGTAAGGGCTCTATATATATCAGAACAGATTCTTTTCCACCCGCAATCATGTTAGTTCCTTAAGCACTCTGGTTTCCAGAATCCTCCACTGGAGTGATAAGATTGGTAGGCCTGTCTTAGTAGCTGCCGCTTTAAGTATCATTGAAAAAATTTTAGGAGCTTCTGTGTTATAGACTTTGTGTTGGTCTTCAATTTCAGAAACACTGATGCCTCAAAGAGAAGGAACTAATGTTTACTTTGTTAAGCTCAGTTAAATAAATTTGGTAGAGATTTACTCAGTTTTTACAGATTGGGAAACTACCTCAGAGAAGATAACATAGCTGATAAGAAGCAAAGCCAGGACTGAGATTCTTACCCATTTTGCTTTATATAAACCTCTAAAAAGACTTAAGCTCTTAAATAAAGTTAGTCCTTTTCTGGTAGAGTTCAAGATGAAAGTTCTATAGGGAGCAACAAAACCGGACCAAGGTCCTGAAGGGGAATTTTTGTCTAGAGTTAAGAAACTTCCTCCTTTCCAGTTGCATCTCAGGTACCTCTCCCCCATTCCACCTTGCATTTCTGAATATCAGCTCTTTCTTTTTTTGGCTCATCTATGTACCACAGGGATGAAATTAATGTAAGGATACATTTAATCCTAACATCTAATCCAAGGTAGATTGGGTAATCTCCATTTACAATGATAAACTGAGGCTTTGAGAAGATTAGGTAATTAGTGTAAGACTGGTAATCTAGGCCATTTGGGTGCTGGGAACACTAACACGGCCTGCCCTCATACCCTCATGATTTTAGAATCTGCTGTTTTTCACTGCCTCTGAATTGTACTCTCCTACAGCTCTGGACTATATCCTATACTATTTTTGCTGTGTCAAACTTCACTACCCTTAACAGACCTTTATAGTGATTTCACTGCCATTAGGAGCCCTGTAGGGGTGATCTAGAGGTTAAAAAAATAAATAAAGCTAAAATAAAGCTCTGGAGCTTGCTTTATTCTGATGCTCCCTAACAGAGACTACCTCATGAGTCTTGGCAGACTTGGTTGTCTTATCACCATCCCTATTACTTTGCTAACTAGGAATCTGGCAGCCCCTCCCAACCCCCAGGGACTGGTTCTTGATTAATATAAACTCTAAACCAATCATTGTAATTCTGTCTCCCTAGACAGTGATTGATTGAGGCATGCGCATATGATGCAGTTCTGGAAAAAAAAAAAAAAAAAAAAATTAGGTGTGAAGGGAAGCCTGAGGGACTTCTAGAGAAGCCTCCCTTATTTAAAAGAGATTTGCCAGCTTTTATTTTATTATTTGCCAGTTTGTATATTAACCTAGGTTTCCCCAAAGTGCGAGAGCCTCAAAAAAAGACAGAGATAGGAAAGCTATAATAATAATAATAGCCAACATTTATATAGAACTTGCTATGTGCTAGGCACTCTAAGTACTTTCTCAGATTCTCATGTTTTAGTTGAGGAAACTGAAGCACAGAGAAGTTCAGTAACTTGGGAAAGGTTGTAGCTAATAAGTGGAGGAGCCACTTAGTCATTATTGTTCTAACCAGAATATGGGCTATTTAGGGCTGTGTTCTGCCTCTAGAAAGAAAAGAACCCTTTTCTGACTCTGAAATTGCCCTTAGCAATGTTGGGATTATGAGGCAGAATTTATAAATAAAAGCAGGCAATTTTGAAGTGAAGGTAGTCAGCCACTGAGGGTAAGGATAGAGAAGATCTCTTCACAATTTTTGAGCTGCTAAATTAGCCAACTTTCAAACTGTCCTATTTCTGGGCTTAAATGGAATAATGAAAGCCACTTCTAGTTTGCTTTTGGCTGCAAGTAACAAAACCTTTCTAACTGAACCCTTCTGATCAGGAATTAACTCAGCACATCTCTTTTAATTTCTCTCCAGCTTTGTTCAGCCATACCAGTTTTAACAGCTACTTTCAGAGAAGGCACAGAACCATTGATCACCTGCTGTATCCTTCAAACATCAAACTCACTGCCCACTTCCTGGCCTGTTTCCAATGCATTTTTGTTAATGGTGGGACCAATGGCCCAGACACTCGGGCAGGAAACCTAATTTATCTTTGATTTTACTCTTTCTTCCCTTTCTGTATTGGCAGATGTTGAATATTGTATGATCCTGTCACTGAGATCTCCCCTAAATTACTTTGTGTAGGTTTTTCCTACAGCATAGTCCCAAGAAGAGTATTAATTCTGTGGTCTTTAACCTTGCTGAATCTCAGTCTCCTCAAAATGAAAATATGAATAATACTACTTTTAAGATTGTTATTAAAGATTCAGTGAAATATTGATATGAAAAAATACTTTGTAAATTGTAAAGGTGTTACTTAAAAAGCCTTTCAAACTAATCTCTTCTATAGCCTCCCCTACCACTGCCAATTCTGCTGCAGCAATGTTACTAGAACACATACCTGATCTTGTCACTCCACTACTTACTTATCTTGGGAAGTTTCACAGACTCCTAAAATTGTAATCCATAGGTAATGGCATTCAAGGCATTCCACTCAAACTACCTCCTTTGTATTTAAGCATTCCTGGTGGAGAAAGTGGTGAAAGCAAATCCTTTTCCATCCATCTGTTTGGTATGGAAATCTTGCCTGTTGTTGAAAATCTAATTTTTTTTTTTTTGGTGGCTGGCCGGTATGAGGACTCAAACCCTTGACCTTGGTGTTATAACACCTTGTTCTAACCAACTGAGCTAACAGGCCAGCCCCAAAATTTAAGTGCTACCTCTTTCATGAACCTTTCCCAAATACTTTATGCCTTCCAATTTTTTTTTTTGTGACCGGTAAGGGGATCATAACCCTCTTGGTGTCGTCTGCACCGCACTCAGCCAGGGAGCGCACCGGCCATCCAGGATCGAACCCGCTGCGGGAGCACCACTGTGCTCCCAGTGCCGCACTCTCCCGAGTGAGCCACAGGGTCGGCCCTATGCCTTCCAATTTGGAAGTGAGCTCTCCTGAATTCTATAGCATTTTGTTCTTACCTTTCATATAGCCCTTTTCATATCTTTTCTTGTAGTACAGTTATTTCATTCTGTATAATTAGTTCCTTGACCAGTTATTTAATCCCCAGAGCCTCATTTCCTCATCTCTAAAATAGTGATAATAGGGGCCGGCCCGGTGGCGCACTGCTACAGTGCGCCGCTTGGGAGTGTGGCGGCGCTCCCGCCGAGGGTCCGGATCCCACATACAGACCGGTTCCCGCTCACTGGCTGAGTGAGGTGTGGACGCGACACCGAGGGTTGCGATGCCGTTGCCGGTCCCAGTCCGGTACGGGCGCGACACTGAGGGTTGCGATCCGTTGCCGGACACGAAAAAAGACAAAAAGGAAAAAAAATAAATAAATAAAATAGTGATAATAGGATTGTTATGCGGTTTAAATGAGGTAATATCTATAAAGCATTTTAGCATTGTGCTTAGTCTTTGTTTTTGAGGGAAAGGCAGAAACATTATGAATATTTGTCAGAAACTCATACATTTATGTACCCCACAGATATGTACAATCAGCTATATTGCAATAAAA